GAATTTCTATGTAAACTCCATTGGCTAAATTACACAAGCCGCCTACACCCTGCCGCCGCCTCCCTCGCTTTAAGAGCAGGGGGTGGAAACCTCCGTCTGCAACGTGGAGTATCCAACACCGCAGCTCACTGTACCAAGCAAAGGAAGATTTCCTAACGGCAAGGGCTGCCCAGTGCCCACTCCCCTATTTGTGCCGTTGTTGTGAATATGCAACTTTGAAACATAGCTTTGAGACATTTTTGGCAACCTGTCCTAAGCCTGGCCTTTTGTCCCCTTTTCCTTTGTAAACTGTAAAAAATCTTCATTATCTCCCGTCTATGCTCTAGAGGCACAGCCTTTTCCCTTAAAAAGCAATAATGTGTATCTAAAGCAAACCTCTTATTCTTTTTTATTAAGCAACTTTAGGGAGGCATAATTTATAAAATTCACTCATTTGAAGTGTACAATTCAGTACATTTTAATAAATTTACCAAGTTGTGCGACTGTTGCCATAATGTAGTTTTAGAACATTTCTATGATCTAAAACTAGATCCCATATGATCCGTTATGCCCCTTATAGTTAATTCCCACTCCCAGGCCCTGCAGCCACTAATCTACTTTCTGTCTCTAGATGCACCTCTTGTAGACATTTCACATAAAATACTGTATAATGTGTGGTCATTTGCATTTGGCTTCTTTCACTCAGCATAATGTTTTAGAAGTTCTTCTGTGTTATACCATGTATCAGTATTTCTTTCCTTTATGTTGCCGAACAGTATTCCATTGTATGGCTGTGTATCTCATTTTGTTTATCCATTTACCAGTTGATGAGTATTTGGGTTTTAACTTTTTGGCTATTATGAATAATACTTGAATTATTACTTGAATTATTATCATAATTATGAATAATTATGAATTATTATGAATAATACTACTATGGTCATTTGCTTGCAAATGTTTACACATATTATTAACTTCTTCTTGATAATAAAATTGTCTGTTTCTAGTTTTTGACTCAAAAAGCAGTTGAGTTGAATTTTTTATAATCCTAGTCCTTTGCCCCTCAAAAAACTCCTCCCAAAATAAACTGGTTGTTTTTTTTTTGTTTTTTTTTTTACTTCTGTGAGGCTATCAATTGATTCTTTTTCTCTGTGTCACTGGCCCTTAATAGAAAGGCACTCCCCACTTGTTAGAAAAATGTTCCCAATTCTTGGTTTCAGAAAAGAAAAAGAAAGACCAGCCGTGGTGGCTTATGCCTATAATCCCAGCACTTCGGGAGACTAAGGTAGGAGGATCACTTAATCCCAGGAGTTCAAGGCTACGGTGAGCTAAAATAACACCACCACAGTCCAGCCTGGGTGACAGAGCAAGACCCTGTCTCTAAAAAAAGAAAAAGAAAACATTTTTTAATTTTTTAAAAAAAGAAAAATAGCAATTATCATCCAATTTCAGGGGCATTGATTCCACACATCCCTCATGTCCATACCTGTGTTGGGGAGGAGGAAGCCAAATGATGAGCCATGGACGCTTGAAAACCATACCATCACGGGGGAAGTAAATAGGCAGACAGCTATTCCCATGACAATCATCAGTAATGACAGATCATTTCAATTCTTCTCTCCTTTCCTACCTTCTTTGATAAAGGAAAAATTATTTTCAATAAGTACTGTCAAAGTCTCTACCTTTTTTCCCAGCTAAAAAAATTTCAGCTCATGAAGGAGGTCAGTCTTGGCCAGAGCTTCGTGCCTTGTCCACGTGGAGGAGGTACGCACACACCTTTGCAAAGAGCAGCAGCTGGAAGCCCTCACTGGCCGTCGTCCAGCTCAGCCTCCCATCCTACACGGGACTGTCTCCTGGGCAGTCTTGGTTTGGATATGTCCAGGGCCTGGGAGCACACAGCTTCATGAGGTGGCCTATTTCATTAGTCAACTGGTTGGCTACATGGTTTTTCTTATTTTGAACTGGACATTTTACTCCATGTTATTTTATCCATTAGCCTCATGTCCATATGCCTCTTACACACGGTACCATTTTACGTATTTTAAAGTACTTACTCTTCTTTCCTTTCCATAAGCTCTGCTAGTTCAGAGGTTCTTTTTTATCTTTTCCTTTTTTTTAGAGACAGGGCGTGAGCTACCATGCCTGGCCAATTCAGGGGTCCTTATAACAGACTCTGATCCCTGTGTGTGGGGGGGTCTAATCTATTTAGAATGCACTAATTGGGATGAGACTATTAATGTGGCTGAGTGCTGGGGTTTGTTTGTTTCAACAGCCACCTCACGCCCTGTGGGCCCCTCGGAAGCTTGTGATTCACCAAACTAAATCTCTTGGTTTCATACTTCAGTTCTTCTCCTTTCTCTTCTGGAGTCATTGTTGCTGAGTTCTATGTAACTTTATATTTAACCCTGTTAAATTTGGTCTTACTGGGGGTTGGTTTTTGTTTTTTTTTTTTAATGGTAAAATATACGTAACATGAAATTTACCACTTACACTGTTTTTAAGGGCACAGCTTAGTTGCATTAGTACTTTACCATTGTTGTGCAACACCATACCATCCATGTCCAGAAATTTTTTTATCTTCCCAAACTGAAACTCCATACTAGCTGAACAATAATTACCTCTTTCTTTCCACCCCAGCTCTGGTCAACCTTCTGTCTCTACTTACTTTCTCTGAATTTGACTCCTATAGGTATGAGTGAAATCATACAGTGTTTGTCCTTTTGTGACTGGTTTATTTCACTTAGCCTGATGTCTTAAAGGCTCATCCATGTTGTAGCATGTGTGAGAATTTCCTTCCTTTTAAGGCTAGATGGTATCCTGTTGCACATACAGACTACATTTTGTTTATCCATTTGTCCATTGGTAGACTCACCTGGGTTGCTTCCACCCTTTGACTATTGTGAATAATGCTGCTATAAACATGAGTGTACAATTATCTGTTCCAGTCTCATTGATCTTACTGGTTTTAACTAATTCATTACATTTTCCCCTCATTCATTGTATTTTGCCCCTGTTTTATATTTTTGGATAATTATCTGTAAATCAGATAAGGTTGATCTCTGATTTTATATAAGTCCCTTCTTGATAAAAATGTTGCATTTCCAATTGATTTGAAAATATTTTGTACAGAAACTGTCATTTCCTGTATCTCCTGTGTTTTTTCAAGATTTATGACGTGGTCTTCACAGCTGGACTCTGGAAGCAGATGGCTTTCATATTTAGCCTGAGTCTGAGATTGTCATAGTTCCTTTGGATAAAGTCTACTTGGCGGGCAGATACTGGGGGGAATCAAATAACCAACCTCTAGGTTGGGTCAAATCCAGAGGTTTGGGGTTTTTGATTTTGGGGTTTTATTATCTCTTTGTTTTGAAGGCCACTAACGCTACACAGAAACTAATTATCAGGCACCAAAAAGAAGCGAACTGAGTCTTGGAGTGACCTGATTAGGATTGCATTTGTTTGCTCCACAAATATTTATTGAGCTTCTACTTGTGAAAAGCACAAAGTGATTTAGGAAGACAGAAGATGAATCAAACACATTCTCTGCTTTCAAGATGTTTACAGTACAAAATATTAGAGGAGCTTCCTGTGATAACCTAGAGATCTTTAGGCAAAGCTTCAGCCCATAGCTGTAAAAATACATCTTAAGATGAGGAGGATTACAAAATATCCCCAAAAGCAAAATGTGCTCTGGAATTATATTTTAGTTAGTATAGGTGGGTTTTAAGTGAGGATTTGAAGACAAACTGAAATATTTCAACATGAAAGCTTTAGAGGTGTTTAGCTTTTGCTTTACTTTGGCTAATGTGAGAGCTCCAGGAAAACAAAAAGTACTCTTGATCTTGACAGTATAAAATTCTTATTATTTTTAGAGAATAGTAACTATGCATTTATGAAATTCTTTGTCAGAGCAATTTAGTTAATAGGTATGTAAATGACTACTTATTTCATCGTGTAGGTGGATCGCTCCATGTACACCTTCTAAGGAAGAATATAAGTGCTAAAAACTATTAACATTGCAAATGGAAAGGAGCAAAAGTTAAGGCTTGAATGCCATACCTTTGCTGTGTTAGGTATTAGGCGTGAGAAAGTCCATCTTGTAGTTGATTTGTTTGATTTACTAATCACCTGACTCTGGGATTGTTTTAAATGCATGGAAACTGATTGGGATGCAAGGTTGTTTCTTATTATTGGTTTTCAAACACAAAAGATCATTACAAACCCAGCTGGGTAGAGTGGGAGAAGTACTGAAAGTTAATGCCACAGCAATAAATTTCAATGCAGGAGAATATCTCCTTAAAAAACACCTAAAGGAGCTCTTTAAAAAGTTTATTGGTGTTTCAGTATAAAAACACCTTCAGAGGAGGCTGGGAGTTTCAAAGCTCTTCTGACTCTAGCTGCCTCCTGGGATCAGCATAGAAGCTTCTCTAATTGCTGAAGAGTTGATGCAGGCCTCCTCCCAGGGAAGAGGTCACCAGTGGGAGAGAATAAATACACCCCCCCCCCCAGAAATGGTCCTACCTCCTTCGCTTGAATTCACCCTGCCCCATGAATTAGCCTCGTCTTAATTGTGCTTTCATCATTACATTCCCCTTCTTAGAAATTTCCTTGGGTTCTCATTTGTCATGCAAAGCAAACTAAAATTCTCAGTAATGGATCCCAAGCTCTCCACCATTCTTACCTAACTGCTCTTGACTCCCTCTCCCCCACACCACAGGCAAGCTCAGTGTTTGTGTCTCCTGTGGGTGCAGCTCTTCTCCTGCCCCTGCCCTGCTGCTCTCACTCCTGGTGACTGAGTGCCTTCCTCTTAATGCTCAGCCTTTGGCTCCGCACAGCTGTTGTCCCAGGCTGAGTTCCTTTACTTGGCAGGCTCCTTCTGTGCCGTACCGTGGCCCCTGTGGGTAGAGACCAGTGGGAGCATGGACTTAATTCTCCAGCCCTGTGGGGCCTCTACACATTAGGGGTGCTTCTTCATTCACATTTTTCATGTGTTTGGTTTTGCTTTTGTTCTTTTCCTTCAGGTACAGAGTGAAGACAGTGTCCTCCTGTTTGTTATTGCCTGGACAATCACAGAAATTATCCGTTACTCTTTTTATACATTCAGTCTATTAAACCATCTGCCTTACCTCATCAAATGGGCCAGGTAAAAAAGTATATGGAATGAAGACTAACTTTTGAAGTTATCCATCATTGCATTTGCCCTTTATTGCCTAAATATACCCTCCAAGTTTCTGAAAATAAAATCGTATGAGATAGAGGTGGGGTAGAAATCTGGTCTGTAGATCTCATCAGAAAAACAGTCTCTACTTTGATTATTAGAAATCCTGTTTTAAAATGTCTACATTTTACATAAGTTGTTTTTATTGGGATCAGTTCTTTTCAGTTAAATTATTCAATAAAGATTTGATGAAACAGCCCTTTTTTGTCCATATCAGATTTTACTGATGAGCCTTTGCCATTGTGATGTTTTTTGGACCAAGTCTAGTTTTCCTAGTCTCAGTTTTGCCAAGAAGCTGTGACTCTTAAACTAATATTTAGTTAATAATAAACATTACATGTTTTAGCTCATCGGCTTTATTTTGCTTTGATTATTTTTACCAGTAATATTCATTATGAGTTGGGTGAAAGGCTGATAGTCCTCTGTCACCCCCTCTGTTTACCCCCACAGTTGTGAGCAGGGTTCTGAGTTGGGAAAGACTACGAGGGGGTAGTAGTCTGACAAAGATTGTCCTTGGAGCTGAAATGCCTCATTTCAGAGCAGGAAAATAGTGATTCCTAGACAGTTTATGAGTTTGGTGATTAAATTAGGGACATAATCCAGTTGTTTCCAACATTTCAAGTATGAGAACTCCTCTGTTATTTTTTGTTTGCAATAAACATTTTTATTGGGAAAAGGGGAGAATAGGAAACAGCAGCACTAACCAGCGTGGACAGGCATTGCGAAAGGCGTCTACCCTGGTTGTAGGGGAAGTTTGTTGGCCAAGACCTGATCTCACTGTTGGAGAAAGAGTCTTTATCCACTGTTCTCCACAGCCTCTGAAAAATTCTTCCTTCTCCATTGTCCCCCTTAGCATGGCTAACATTGGCAGTGGGGAACACGTCTTCCCTTCATCCTCATAGATTTTTCAGCACAATTCCTGTACCTGGAAGCTTGTAGTTCATCGCTGGTTATAAGCCACCAACAGCCAAAGGCTTTTTGACACACTGACTGCCACACTAGAAAAAAGATGTTTTCCCTGGGGCCTTCTTGTTCTATTAAAAACAAACAATCCTTTCAAATTTGTTATTTTTTATATTGTTTTCTGTGCATGAGTTATATGCAACGCAATCTACATTTTTTAGAATTAAATTGTCAATATTTTAACAATAAGAACATCAACAAGTAAGATTTTCACAAACCAGCTATAGGGTTTTGCTTCGTGAGGCCCTGGCTCAAAACTAGCGTGAGTTAAATATAACTCATGTGGCAGTTAATGTGTTAAATTCTGAGCGGATCATCCCTTTAGCAATATTTATACCTCAGAATGACTTTCACTTAGCTCCATGAATTGTTTGGTTTTTTTTTTTAAAGAGGCAAGGTCTTGCTCTGTTCCCCAGGCTAGAGTGCAGTGGTACTATCATAGCTCATTGAAACCTCCAACTCCTGGGCTCACACAATCCTACTGCCTCAGCCTCCTGAGTAGCTGGAACTATAGGCATGTACCACCATGCCTGGCTAATTTTTCTGTTTGCTGTAAAGATGGGGACTTACTGTGTTGCTCAGGCTGGTCTGGAACTCCTGGCCTCAAGCAGTCCTCCTACCTCGGCCTCCCAAAATGCTGGGATTACAGGCGTGAGCCACTGTGTCCAGCCCTGAATTCTTTTTGAGACATAGAGAACTCTTTTTTAAAGTGAAGAAATTGTGTGGATCCCCTCCCATGTGACGGTAGTTGTAATTGTAGGGTTTTTAAATCAGAAAATTACATAATAACCTAAAGCTATTATGAATTTAATTTTTTAATTACATGTATTTGATTTTTCACAATAGCATATACAGACTTTTGAAGAATAGTAGCAGTATACATGTTTGCACTATTTTTATTTTCCGTCCACAGACCAGACTTGGTGTATATTACAGGAAATCCTGGATAACATGTTCCAACTCCTCCCCACCACCACCCTGACGCCCTCCAAATCCCCAGCCCCCACCTTAGCCCACAGGCCAGACCCTTCAGTACCAACCATGGCCCAGTGCCCCTACTTTGCCAGTATTTGATATCCCCTTGTTATGTAGAGAATTGTTTTGAACAGTTGTTTCTTTAGTCAGGCCAAATTTTGAGGCTGACTGAACACATTTATTTTGTTCTAGAACATTCAGAAAACATATACTTGCTACATAGGCCCTTTTCAAAAACTGGTTTGTACAACCTGAATTGAAAACGTAAGTAAACAGGAAAATGTATAAACAACAGCTTTCTGAGAGACTAGTACTGATTAGAAGGGCAGTAGTGCATCTTTCTCCTCAAGCTGGCGGTGCGCCTGAGTAATGAATATTTTTCTTTGTTTTAGGTACACGCTTTTCATCGTGCTGTACCCAATGGGAGTGTCGGGAGAACTGCTCACAATGTATGCAGCCCTGCCCTTTGTCAGACAGGCCGGCCTGTACTCCATCAGTTTACCCAACAAGTACAATTTCTCCTTCGACTACTATGCGTTCCTGATCCTAATAATGATCTCCTACATTCCCAGTAAGTAAACAGCTCTGCGTATATTTAATTATGTTTTAAAATTTGGCTGTACAATAACTAGAGTTAAATGTCTTTGATTGTTTTTGCACCATGTCCAAGCAAAGGTAAATCTAATTTCCTGGGAACGCTTGGTTTTTATTGAATGCCGACTGTCAAAGGGAATTTTCTCTGGCAGTAATTGAATAAAGATGAACCCTTCTCAATACAGCTGCCAAAATGGAGCCCTTCTCAGTATGTGGGTTTAAAATAGTGAATACCAGGGTAAGCTAAGTAGATATTGGCGGAAAGTACTGAGTGGAAAACAAAAAAGCCATGAAAGACTACTTACCTTGATTTTATTTTTCTGTCTCTTGAGAACTGCTTATTATGGTATTTGAAAAACATGGTATTGTCTACCAGTGAGAGGTTTAAAAAACAAACAAAAAACACACACAGTAAAAAGATTTTTGCATTGGTTACTACATCAAAATAGACAGTTAACTTCTTTTTGAAGGGATCATAGTTAACTAGAAACAAATAAAAATCGATTTAGTTTATATTTTTCTGTTTTTCCTTTTCTTATTAGCACTAAAACCATCTGAATGGGACATAGTGTTCTCTTCAGGATGATTTCCAGTTATATTAATAGTTCTACCAAAGGTTTAAATATATGGATAGGCTGGTCGCAGAGACTCAGGCCTGTAATCCTAGAACTCTAGGAGGCTGAGGTGGAGAATCTCTTGAGGCCAGGAGGTCGAGACCAGCTTAAGCCGGAGACCCTGTCTCTACTAGCTAGGCATGGTGGCGAATGCCTGTAGTCCCAGCTATTCAGGTGGCTGAGGCAGGAGGATCCCTAAAAACCAGGAGTTCCAGGTTGCAGTGAGCTATGATGATGCCATTGCACTCTAGCCCAGGCAACAGAGCAAGACTGTCTCAAAAATAAATAGATAGATAGATCGATAGGTAGACAGATAATCAAATTTGCCTATCGACATAGTCAGTGATAGAAAAAGACGTGTTTTCAGCTATTCAGGAGGCTGAGGTGGGAGGATCGCTTGACACTGGGAGTTCAAGGCTGTAGTGTGATATGATCGCACCTGTGAATAGCGACCTGCACTCCAGCCGCTGCACTCCACTCAAGACTTTCTGTTTTCTAAACAAAAAGAGAAAGACATGTTTGCTGTCTCTGTGAGGTGAATCCTGCTTGTGGAGGAGGAGTTTAGTCCTTTTCTTGAATTCTGATGTTGGGTTGTAAATCTTATAATAGATTTCTGCATACCAAAAGGATCTTGTTATACCCAATAACATATAATGTTAGTGTTTCTTCTTATTTAGCTATTGCTGTAGCCATTGCAACTCTGAATCTTATTTTAGTCTATGAAGATAGATGCTATATTCTCCCCTCAACCCCAGGTTAAATTCAGATAGGGTTGGATTTTTCTTTGGCTCACAGCCTAATCTGAATGAATCATCCTAACAATCATAAGCGACATGTTTGTGTCCCTCTGTGGAAAATTGCATTTCATGCACTGTGAGAAAAAAACTACATCCAGATTTCATGTGAAGGCTTATCTTGGAGAAATTCTTGGACGCAATTCAGTTTCGTGATTCATTTTCCACTCTTTATTCATTATCAAGTCCTCCTCTTCAGTACTGGAACCATGGAGGCTAAAGGCCATCTCTCTTTAAATGTAGACGGTAGTTGATTTTCAAACAAAACATAAATGTGGCCAGGCGCGGTGGCTCACCCTATAATCCCAGCACTTTAGGGAGCCAAGGCCAGAGAACCGCTTGAGGTCAGGAGTTCCAGACCAGCCTAAGCAATACAGCAAGACCCTGTCTCTACAAAAAAAATAGAAAAATTAGCCAGGCATTGTGGTGTGTACCTGTAATTCCAGCTACTTGGGAGGCTGAAGCAGAAGGATCACTTGAGCCTAGGAGTTGAAGGTTGCAGTGAGCTATGCTGACGTCACTGCCATCCTCACGCCCAGGCAACAAAGTGAGACCCTGTCTCTGTGTCTCTCTCCCTCTCCTTCCTTCTTCTCTCCCCGCCAAAATATATATGTGTGTGTATATATACATGTATATGTATATATGAATCTAAAACCTTACATAATAAAAATTAACTAATAGTTTTTCACCTTTTAATATTGTTTCTTTTTTTTTTTCTTTTTTTCTTTCTTTCTTTATTTTTTTAGAGACAGGGTCTTACTCTGTTGCCCAGGCTAGAGTGCAGTGGCGTGATCATTGCTCACTGCAGCCTTAAACTTCTGGGCTCAAACAATCCTCTTGCCTCAGCCTCTCAAATAGCTGGGACTGCAGGCATGCCCCACCATGCCCAGCCCATTTTTTATTTTTTATAGAGACAGGGTCTCAGTGTGTTGCCCAGCTGGTCTTGAACTCTTGGGCTTAAGCAGTCCTCCTACCTTGGCCTCCCAAAGTGCTGGGATTACAGTCATGAGCCACTGTGCCCAGCCTCTAATGTTGTCTTCTTAGAGTTTCATTTTCCATTCTCTAGAGCAACAATTCACAGTTGCAGTTTCCCCACACCCAGTGTAACACATATTATCCCAGTGGGCCCACAGGATTTATTTAAATTCAACATATTAGTAGTTTTTGAACAAATAGGAGGATATGTACCATATTGGATAACTGGGAAAGGGGCAAGGAGGGTATTATGAAATCAGACCCATGGCAAGGTGCTTCCACGTTGATGGAAATCTGGGGGCCCCTCCCTCAGGGTTTGTGCTGGTCATCTTTGTGCTCTGGTGCCAGCCAGTGCCAGCCTTTTTGCCTCTTTCTGCTGACCTCTTGCTGCAGTGGCTGGGCCCAGTTGAGCCCAGGCAGCCCTCCCATGACAGTAGGGTTCCTGGAGGAAAACAAGCCCAGTTCCATGGGACTTTGCATCTCCCCCCTGGAAGAGAGAGGAGAGAGAAAGCAGCCCTTAGGGCCTGCTGCCTGATAGAGAGCAGGGCAAACTCTGCTCCCCGCAGCAGTGTGCTTCCCTTACCTCAGTTTCTTCTCTCTTCTGATCTCAGCCTCCTTTTGGTAGGAGAACTTGGTTTAGTTAAGTCTAATATAATTTCTTTCTTAAGGCAGCTTATCTCTTGTAGACCAGGGGAAAAAAAGGGTGCATCTAAATAAAAAGTAAAAGATTCCCTACAAATCCCTGCCACCTTACCCAGGTCCAAGATGGCGCCTAGGCCACACCTGCTGCCACAGGGCACCCTTCGTGTCTGCTTGCACCCACTGGGCTCTGGCCTGAGCCAGTGCCCTGGATGTTTTCAGTAGTTCAAGGTTGTTAATATTGAAACCGGTTTGTACAGTTTGTTCCAGCCAACTGCACATTTTCAACTTTCCAAAGCTTTGTATTTATCAGGAGAAAATGCAGAATTAGGAGAGGTTGCTTTTGAAATGCAACCTCCTTTACCAAATTTAGTTTTCTTTCTACAATTTAGGGTTCTTTTAATCTTCTTCAATGGGACGTTGATGATCTCCATGTCTTATGTAAAGTAGCACCTGTTCCTCATGCCCTGATCTACTGCCACGTTGCACACTCAGCCCAAGTTGTGGCCCAGGAGCATTGGCCCCCAGCGCTTCCTCCTCCTGTTGGGGTGTTGTGGGTCCCTGGCAAGGTGCTCTCCTCCTGGTCTGCTTCACTCGCAGTATGTACAGTGTCAGCACAATACAGTATCTGAGGACTCCGTAGGTGTCTAAGTCCTGTTTACATTTTCCCCTCAAAATTGGCGAAAATGGGTTATGGGGGAGGAGACAAAAAAAGGTTGAGGAGCACTGACGTGGGTGAGGACACTGAGAAGCTGGCGCTCCCCCAACCATAACCACACCTCTAGTTTTTCGAGACACTGAGAAGGGACTTGGCCCAGTAGCACCCACAGCCCCCGCAGCCCCGGTACACGGGGACAGACACACACGCATGCCCAGTGACTGTCCTCCTAGTGTCTTCAACTGGCAGAGCAAAAGGTAGAATTCTCAATAGCCCATTGTCATATTGAGATTTTTTTTTTTTAGTGTTTATCCTGAGTATAGCCCATGTAGTTAAAAATAGTAGCCACACATCCGGAATTGTTTCAGTCACATTAGGTTCGGTCTGAACATATAGGTAATGCAGATGGAGACAGTATGAAAGTTCTGGCCCCCCACACATCATTGCTCAAGCTGTGGGGAACAGCACAAGCACCCCCAGGCCTCTGGCCTCCCACCCACATTCCTTTCTGTGGGGCACTAAGGACCCTCTGGGAAGATATAAAGGAATGAAAGGCCGTATCTGTCCCCATTTCTGGCATCTGACCCTTCTGGTAACCAACAGACCCTTAGCAATGGAAATGAAGTTCTGCATGGCCCTATCCTTGCTTTAACTGCCACTAAGGGCCTAGGTCATTATCCTCCCTGAACCCTCCAAACCAGCTGCGAGGCCGCAGCCATCACTGTGGGGTAACGTAGGCACAAATACAGCCAGCAGGAGGGTCCCTAGCGAGCTTAGCTCCCAGCATTTCCCTTTGCTAAAGTTAATCTATAGAAATGTGACTGGCCTCACGTCTTTAAATGATTACAATTAGCATTCCTTATGGCTTAATTATATCTTTACTTCCAGTTTTTAGATTATAGAGCTTGTCAAATATTCTGGCTTCCGTACCAAAATAGTTCTCTCCCTGTTGAATTATATGCACAGGCTGGGTCTTTTCTGTGAACAACTTCCTGCCTAGAAATAGCACGTGGAGTGGACGGCAGCGCTGCCGCGCACCCGGCCTCCCGCGCAGCTCCGTGTGCACCCACCGATGCCGTGGGTGCCTTGGCAGGATCCTTTGAAATCTGGCCAACTTGGAGCCCATTTGAAAAGGAAGACGCTGTCAGGGGAGAGTTGGCAATAGTAGAGATTACCTCCCCCAAAGATGGGTTACTGTCTGAAAAATAAGAAATTGGAGCTGTTGGGAAAGGGAGGGGAGGAAAGGGTATCGTATACCAAAGGCCGTCCCACCTGAAGCTGTTTTACACACAGTGACCATGTGTAGGCCAGGTAGTTCAAACTGGCATTTCCTAGCAAGAATACCCTAGGCATTTGGGGTGGGACAGTCCTTAGTTGTGGCAACTGGTGTGCAATGTAGGATGTTTTAGTATTCTCTGGCCCTGTGTGTTAAATGCCAGTAACCTTCCCCTCTCCCCACTTATATGCATACATTCCCTAGGGAGGCAGTACCACCCTGTTCATTTGAGAACCAGTACTTTTAAAAATGTTCTCTGAAATGAGCAAGAACAGAAGAATCTGCAGTGCCTAAGATACGGCTTACTTTTCACAAGGGCTTTTTCTTGCATCCAAACCTAACTTAGTTGTGTTCAAGTCAAATGTATTCCTCCCTGTCCTCAGTCTTCCCATCGAAAGAATAACATCTTGGGAAGTAGTTTGGGGTGCACCACCCCACACCAGGATCAGAGAGACTAGACTAAGGGCCAGAAGCCAAAGCCTGGCCCTAGCTCTGTCAGCGGTTCCCTGTGAGGCCCCAGGCAAGTTGCTTACCCTCCCTGGAGCTTGAATTCTTCCTCTTTGAAAAAGGAATAATAATTCCGTCATTGGAATGCCTCACTTGGTTGTTGTGAAATTGGTCAGAATAAATGTGAAGATAGCTAGAGCCCAGGAGTTTGAGGCTACAGTGGGCTATGATGACACCGTTGCACTCTAGCCCAGACAACAGAGCAAGACCCTGTCTCAAAAAAACCAAAAAACAAAAAAAGACAGTATAAAGAGTATTATTTGGTGGCTCTGGGCATCTTGGTTGGTAATGATAGTGACAGTAGTGTCTGTCATCCTACTCCCCACCACTCTCCCCTTCAGCTAACACAGGAAAGAAAGGTGAGTCTCTCAGTGTTGTTCCTGCCCTTCCCCAAGCCCACCTTGTTACCTTCGTTGGTTGCTAGACAAAAAGTAGTCAGAGGGTCAGAGAGGACCTCAAGTCTATGTGCTTTAAATAGAACTTTGCAATTTTAAATGATCTCCTTAACCTTTTTTTCTTCTTTTCCTTCTAGTTTTCCCCCAGTTGTACTTCCACATGATACATCAGAGAAGAAAGGTCCTATCTCATACTGAAGAGCACAAGAAATTTGAATAGTTCCTGCTTTCTGCACCTCCCCCCCAAAAAACAAACTTTTCAATGATCAAAAAATGCTGCAGACTTTTTGAGTTCCCAATACGTTTCATAGAAAATAAGTAAGAACTATTTTTAAAATATTTAAAATAAAACAAAAACCAAAATCCAGTGTCACATGGGCCTGGGATTTTCTATTTAAAAAAGGCTGTTACATAAAACATCCTGGCCAGTCCATTTCAGCATGCTCTTTCTTTCAACCAGAAGTTCCCAATATTTATGATGGCGCTAGAAAGAGATTTGGCATTTTATATCCTTCTGTGTCCTTCATGTATCTGATAAATAAATATCTGTAACACTGAATACTTGAGAGTTACAGTCTGAGTAATGAAGTTGTACCAACTGAATGCCCAGCTTGCAGTAGAGTTATGTTTCAGTCTGCAGTGTGTTTAGCATTCCCTTTTCAAAGTGCTTGACTGCATGCTGGAAACTATTTGTATTTTTGAAGCGGCAAACTTTGTTCTCTGGAATGCTCTGAAGTTATGGCTGGGACCTATCCCCTCATATCTACTGAATGAATTATAAAATGTATATGCCTGTGAAGCTTTGGGATAGTGCCCGTAATCCAAAAACAACTAGAATCCTTTTGTTTGTTTTCAGTTGAGTCATTACTGCCTGCCACTAAGAAACGTGCTTGAATTTAATAAGTATGTGTACCTTGTAAGAACCTACCTTATCTGGAGCTCAGCCTCAATCATATTTTAACAAAATGACAGTTCTCAGAAAGGGAAAACTCCATAGCTAGTAAGTGACAAGCACCTTTCATGGTACTGTTCTCAGAACACCTCTGAGTAGCGCGAGTAAGGTATGTGCTGGTAGCCGTTCTCATTTATGGACCCTGAAGCCAATCCAGCCACATGGAAGTGGGGAATCTGTAATCAAAAGCGCATGGGAGGCGCCACGTTAGAAATGTAGTCCAGAAAAACATTCAGGAATAGGTTTTTACACCATTGTAATTTTAATTTTTAATTTTCTCTCACTTTTCTGTTTGGATACTTTTCCTAATTATGCTCCTATGTTAATTCCCACCAAGTTGTAAGGCCAGAGGCAGTAAACTGTTCCAGTTGGGCAGCTATGAGCTAAAAGCAGTATCATCTCTGGGTGTTGGAGCAGCCAAGAAATATTTTGGTCCTATGGACATTGTCTAATTAACATCACATCTTCATACCATTCAGTTGCTCAGCTGTGCATTTAAAACCCTTCAAGAAAGGGTTGGATGAAAATGTAAAAGCACAAGTTTAGATGTGCATTAAATTTTAAACAACACAGTATCTTTTTTATTTATGGAGCCTTTTTTTTTTTTTGGTTGATCTTTAAGACTAAGTCTAGCTTACTGAGTAGTTGTCATTTAATATATAATTGCTAATATCAAAAGAGTATCATAATGGAAAACTAAATTTTTAAATGCTTATTTTCATAGAAGCTTAAAAATTTATTGCAGGCAGGTATGTAATAAATTATTTTTAAATTGAACATTCAAATTCTGCTTCTGAAAGTCAGCACTCTAGGGCATTTTGAGATTGGAATCTATTCTTGTATTTGATAGACAAAATATGTGGGAAAGCTTTTTTCATACTTTTTCTGTCTTTTTATTCTTCCAAAATTTATTTCTACTGTAAAGTAGAATCAACCTGGGTTATATTAGTCTTACTACTTTATTCAGTAAAGATTTTTTTCAATTGTTTTTGGAAAACTTCTAAAAGATAAGATGAAAAATGCAAGTATTTTGGGATTGGTGGGCTGGGAGTTTTATTCAGGCCTCTTTATTATAATTTGTCACCGGTTATGAAGAACATTCTGTTGCAAACAGTAGTATTGCATCGAATTGAACTTTGGCAATGAGAACACAGCAAACAGTTCCCTTTTCAAAAAGGGTCTCTACCCCAATGTGAATTATTGTATGTCAACCTTTAGAATCCTTGTGGCAGAAAAACAAGGCATGTCACTGTGTCCTTCAATAACCTCTCTCCATATCTGGTTTCTTTATCCCAAACATGAATTCATTTCTCTTTTGAAGTAGTGTTCTTTTATAAATTAAGAACATCCAACCCACCAAATGTCACCTCTTCTTATGAGGTGCGAATGAGGGAGGTAGTGTTTCTGTGAGTATTTCGTTAGACCGAGCGGTTTCATCTCAGGTCACAGTCAAAGGCATCATCCTCCCGTCTACCCCCTTAGGTGCGTGGTTCAGATCCCCCCTGTGGGGCCTCCTTCAGAAAGACGGTTCTCTGAGGTGCGCAGTAGTGCTTTGTAGACACAAGCTGCTAATCTGCATCTTGCTATGTTCTCTTTGCTAAGGTTGGGATTATTCATTTAACATGTACCAGCCAGTATCAAAGGCACCATGGAGAGTTAGTCATGGAATAAAGCACTATCCTTGAAGACAAAAAAGTTCCTCCAGAGCAAACTTCTGACAGGAAAGGTGTAGAAGATGTAGAGTTTAAAGGGGCATATGAAGAGATCCTGCCCTCATTTTTTACTTGGTTATTTATTTATTTTTTTTGGTTATTCATTTGTAATAAAAAGTTTGCATTTATGTGATCCAACCTGCAAATTATTTTCAATTCTGAGTTTCAGATAAAACATCTTAAAAACATCAAAGTGAATATGTACTGCTCCTTTGAAATTTGGGTAAAAAATTATACACCCATATATACAGTCATTTTTGTATTTTTTCTATGTTGTGAAAACCAAAATTGTAATTTTATAAGTCTTTGATTCACTAAAATTATATAATTTAAATGTATTTTTTGTATATTTAGAATAAGGAGTTCAAAGACTATGCTTAACTTTCTATGCATGCATTTGAAAGCTGTTTTTACCTGATAATGTTAATGTGGTAATAAGTTGTATTCATAAAATACTGATCTGTGTTGCATTTCAAAATAAACTAGTGTGTGCTCTGCCTGGATTTGAAATACTGACCAGTGAATATAATGGTTTTTCATATTCAATAGGCCTGAATGTGGTGTTACAGGAATATGGAAGGGTTTCAGTCCTGTTGTGGACTTCCAGCTCTTTCTCTAACTATTTTAAAATCTATTTCTACTATGCATAATGGTTCTGCACTCAACAGGAAACATAGATTATATTAAGAGGTTTCCACAAAGTCATTCTGCCCTGCCAGCCAGTCCTCAGGCTCACCGAGCCAGTCTGTAAGCTGGGATTCCTCATGTAAGTGACCAGGAAACCTAAGAAGTTAATCAGCAAAAGGTTGAGAACCCTTGTCTTACAATGAGGTTTTTTTAGTGTAAGTTTTCTGGTAGGAGCTGAGAGGGGAGATACTGTTGCCCAGCACTGTTCAGCTTACATTAAAACAAGATGTGGTGAATTTCAAGCACCTCATCCTGAAAATGCCTCCAAACAGAGCAATCCAAGGAACTGCTCCCTCCCAAGGTGGCAGAAGCAGTGGGAAGGACACTGACTTAGGGTGTCCTCAGCTGGGTCACTTCTGACCTTCTAGCTCTGGGCCCCCAGTTGTTTCACCTCAGAACAAAAGCACCGCTCTCTCCCTGTGCTGGCACATTCTAATTTCTTCTCTGGGTGATCTCTCGAGATACCTGTAGTTGTAACATACCCACCCACCCCAGCCCCAATCTGCTGGGTCTTTCTTGGAGTAAACCATCACCACTGCCCCAGAGTATGGTCTTTGTTCCAAAGGGCAACTTTTTCTTATATTTAAAAGTTTTTTTCTAAATATAATCAAGAAAAACAGACTTGTAGATATATTTTATTTGGGGGGCCTTGGTGCTTACTTTATTTCACATTTGTTTAAAGTCACATAAACTGGGGCTGCAGATAACATATTCTTCCTAAATGCTGTCTGATCCTGGCCTAGACGTTACCAGCCCAGTGGTTAGACTACCTGTGTCCTCATACAGAGCCTGTTCTATTTCAGAAACAGGCTTTTCATTTACAAGAAGAGAAATAAAATTATTGCAACTGAAACTGAAGAACAGATGGTAAAGTTAATAGTAGAGGCTACCCATAAAATACAACCTTTACAATCTTCGGTTTGTAATGGGAAACCAGGGCTTTCTAATTTGTCATTGTCATATTTTGTGGCAATTATGTGTACTATGTTAACATAAGCCTTTGCCTGGAGGAATTGCCATTGGTATAATTAAGAGGCCTACTGTTACACACAGCATTCCGAAAATACTGCTGTGTTGTTGTTCCCTTTAGCAAGAATGAAGATTAGCTTTGCAATTCCTTTTATTATTTAAAAGAAAAAAAAATTCCAGCCTCACAAATAACCTGGCTCATTGTCATACAGTTTAGTGGTGAAGAAACTGTTCTAAGCAACTATTACCAAAAATAGCCATACCTATTAACATTCCTCTGCCTACAGCTGAGAACCAGAGCTAGAAAAGAGCTATGTGGTTTTTGACCAGTACTTTCTTTTAAACGTGTGAGAGACTGTTTAATCTTTTTTTTTTTAATTTAAAGATAGTCCTTTACTGTTATGGGGACAAGTCTCATTATCAAAAATAATCTTTACCACAAAAGGCAATTTACCCTAAAAATCTCTTATTTGATGAGCAAAAATAAGAATGTAAGAGGCTGTGTAAGCACCTAGTACTCGTTTCATAAATCCTTTTGTTTGGAAATCATGTTTTCTGCTCCCTAATTCCAGAGCATACACTTATTACTACAGCAGTGCTTTTACATCTATCTTTGGCCTTGGGTGGATGCAATCCAGATGTATTTCCAGATGTTGCGCTTAGTTAAAGCCAGAAACACCATTTCCGCCTTGTTGTCGTAGCCGGGCTTCCCCACCAGGGGGCAGCACCTCACAAGCGATCTGGGGGCCCTTGGAGCCAAAGGAGTTTGCAAAACAGCTTCAGCCCAAGGATGGGGAAAGGGGCTCTAATGAAAATCAGTCACGGATCTTTATTGTCCATATAAAGCAAAGACAGATTTTAAAGCATATTCTGGAGGAGTACATGAAATCATGTTTTTTTAGAACAAAGAAACCAGCTTGAGTGTGTGCTTGGAGGCTTGGTGAATTTTCTTCCAGCTGTAGCGCCCTTTCCATCGGAGACCCTGCAGAGTACTTGGGTTTTGTTTTTTTTGTTTGTTTGTTTGGTTTTTTTTTTGAGCTGGGTCATAAAGCAGGTGTTAGCCCTCCTGTTTAGCTGAGAGCCTGCTTGTTAATAGCTGAAATGTTCAGGGAGGTCAGTTCCCACTCTGAGTCTGTCTCTGGATATTTTTAGAGGGTGGCCTGGGCCATGAGAAAATGTCAGGTCACCTTATAAGGCGGTGTCTGGACCGAGAATGCTTCCTGCAGCGCGCTCAGTACCCTGGATCTGCGCTCGCTTGACTCTCGGACTGTGGGATTTCTCGCAGATTTAAAATGCTTCTGTTCATGCCACAGATGATACTAGCCCTTCAACAAGCTGAAAACCTTCCTCGACAGATAGCTGTTGAAATGACAGCCATTTCAGACATTCCAGATAGATAACCAGGGGGCTATGGAAACTGGAGAATGTCCATCAATAACCACTGGCTGCCTGCGCTTGGGCTGCTAGTCCTGTTCTACTGCAGGTGATTTGTTTATTTAGTGTCTGTTGACGTGACATCCACAGGCTATTAGTTCTGAGTGGCAACGGGAGGATGGGCATGGTAGGGAGAGGGCTCTGTGGTTTAGGACACGGAAACAATATTAAAGTTTTCTCCCCTGCTAAACATTTCCAATCTTTCTGCATGTGAATGCCGTTTGTGAATCTCCAAGAGACAGGGTGCTAATGCAGGATTTTCCAAACCTGTTTTTCATCTTTATCCTTGGAACATCTTCAGGGCTAAGGCTGCTGGAACGCACCTTGAAAAATACTAATCTGTTGGTGGCAGCTTTCCCCATCAGGGAATATTTACCCATCCACGGGGATTAAATGAGAGATAGGGGCTTAGCCTGGGATCTAGAAGAGTTTTCCTTGTTTGTGCGGGCTTTTTTTTTTTTTTTTTAATCCAAACCACATTGTCAAGTAGGTAACTTGAGTTATTAGGTCGAGAACCAGGTGTTAGTCTTCTCGCTGGAGTCTTCCATTTGCTGCTCTCTAGTGGGTGGAAAAGGCCCGCCAATGGCCATGAATGTGTCTGAGCTGACTAGGCTGGGCCCAGCAGCCCCTGTGGGGCCACACAGGCTTAAAGCCCTGAGCCAGGATCAGTCCCCTGGGCCTCTTACCCTTGGACAGCCTGCCCAGCTCACTGTCCATGATTCTCTTTAAATGTGATCTTCCTTAAAATCTCTGGCTGCCTCTCAGCCCAGGGTATCACCCCCAATTTCACAGAGAAAGCAGAGCCATGAGACAGCAAGTCCGGCAGCTTTTTGTTACCAAATCTATAAGCTTACCTGTCCTAGGCTCATTCTTTTCTTTTCCTCGTGTTGCAATGGAAAGGTGACCGTTTATCCAAAGCTAATTCCTACCTTGTGCTCTAGATGTTTCTATCTTCCCCCCTCCTAAGGGACCTCCATCTGTCAGTCTGCTTCTCTCTCTCTCTCTGTGTTCCTCTGGGTCAGCTCTTCTCATCTTGGCCTCGACCCACGCCCTTCACCACCTCCACCTCACTCCTCCTGTTCTGTGGAATAGGTGGCTGCACACACTTCTCTCTTCCTCATCTGCCACTCTTCGCTCACTTCCTACCATGCCACCGACCTGCCTCTGGTAAGGTCACTCGTGACCTCCTTGCTATGAGATCTGGTGCACACCTTTTAGTCCTTGTCTTATGGTTGGAATTGGGGTCCATTCCTGCTGGCTGTTAGAAATACTAGTGGAAGGGGGTATAGCTCAGTGGTAGAGCATTTGACTGCAGAAATACTGGTAGTGTTTTAGAGTAGACTGGGGGGCCCAGCAACACCCAATCCTGGCCCAGAACTCTCATTGTTCCTCGATGTAGCCCCACTGAAGGTGTATGTAAAAGAATCGATGGAACACAAGCAAGCAAAATAGTAAACTGTGGCTTGAGCTGGGCAGAACCTCAGTGGACACTCCTGCTTCCCAAACCAGTGAGGGTTGGGAGCCAGGGCTAAAGTACACTGTGAGGCCTCCCTCCCTGCCCATCCCACTCCCCATCCCAGCACTTAGGTCTTAGCCGCTGACACTGGAGAAAGGCTGATCCATGTACCGCCAGCTCCGGGACAGACACACTCAGAAAAACGTGTGCCACCATGCTTGGCTGGGGCGAGCCAGGCTGGGAAGGACAAGAAAGACATCCGAGGGAAGAGGGCAGGCCCCACTCTGCTGACCCCTGGGACAGGAGACAGACGCACCCCCATGTGCAGCAGCCTGGTCACTCCCATTGCCTCCACTCACTACCCCTGGCAAACGTGGCTCCCTCAGCATCTTGAAACTGAACACTAAGATCAGTATTCCTCTTCCTTAGGGAGGAGCAAAGACGTGCAGGGGAAGAATGAAGAGGGGCCTTGGAATCCTTCCCAGGAAGCCAACACCTTTCCTCATGGTCGGCCAGCCCTGTTTCCTGAAATGACCTTTTCTCCTGACAGCCTGCTCTTCTGGTTTTCTCCTGCCTCCTAAGCCAACCTTTCTGTCTCCTCTCCTGCCCCCGAACTCAGAGCTTCTCGAGAATCACCCATGGTGCTTGGCCCAGGCCTGTGGATTTGGAATCGCTTGGGTGTCTGCTTCTAGACATGGCCCATGGGGGATTCTAACGCAGAAGCTTATTCTGTCCCCCTGCCTCTGCACGCCTCAACCCAAGGCCCCTGACCAGTGGTCCCCAGAGCAGATATGGACTATGGGTGTATTCTGTCGAGCCCATATTGTATCATTTTTTTAAAAAATTGAATCAGTTGTAAACACTTTAAAATTGAGAGAGGTCATGTAACCATCTAAGAAAAATCAGGTGAGGCAGCAGGTGTCCACACTGCACTTGTCAGGCACCAGCAAGGACCCGGGAGAGCTGC